GGGTGATCGATGGATGCTGAAATGATCCTCAATCGCCCGAAGACGGCAATCATGTCTGTCCAATCGCTCCGTCATCAGCCGCTCCATCTAGTCGATTCGCTCCATTACCCTCGTCTCCATGTAACAGATGGCATTAAGGACTTCTTGTCACTTGGAGCGCGGCGGATGAGGTGGTCGCGGAACGGGAGGAGGAAGAGTCTGTTGTGCCTCCGTCTTTTGAGCTTCTTCTTGTGGTTCAGTGTGAGGTAGAGGCTGAGCTGAGGTCGAAGCTGCTCCCCCATTGCGAACCAGAGAAGCTCCAAAATCTGTAGGGATACCTAAGGACCGTAATACTGAAACATTGACCTCATCAACTGCCTTGGTAGTAATGGCTCTCTCCTCACCCAATGGTACCTTGAACTTTTCAAACAGAAGAGTGAGGACACGAGGAAACCCAAAACAAGTCTCACCAGCTCGCATGCGGGCTGTAATGCGCATATAGCTAACAATGCTGCTGCCAAGAGGGATTCCTGTCAACTGCCGACCTATTCCATTCATCATCTTATCCAGAAAGTAAAGGTCGCTATTTCGAACTTCCCTTTTTCCACTCCTCTTAGGTACCACATTAAAAGCAAAGAGATAGATGATAAGGTGGTACCTAGGCTCAAATGAATCGGCATAAACGAGGAGTTTCTTTGAACTTCCTCGTTCCCGGTATTGACCCTTAAGACGTGATATGGTTTTGCCCACTTGCCATGGATCACATGCCTTGAACTCCTTGGTCAATTTCACATCTTCTCTGTCGTCCTTGAGTTTGACAAATTGGGCGATTTTCTCCCGGTGGATGGCCACTCTCTTGCCTTAAACCCAAGAGACAATGAGATTTCCACTATAGCTCTGCTTGTTCTCGACATTCGTGTAAAACTCCCAGACCAAATTGCGATAATATTGCCTAGGCAACTTCAGAATATTGGCCCATCCCAGTCGACCAAAGGCGGTGGACACCTGATAGTGATCATCCACCTCTGGTGCCAAGTGCTTCTCAATAATAATCTCCTTGGCCAAGCCTGCCTCATACCACTGTTGATTTTCTAGCGAGGTGAATCGCGTGGTATCATAGTCTGGAGGCGGCTCCTCGTGGCTAGTAGATGCTGTCTTTCGCCTGGAGCAAGGTGGCTGTTCAAGAGAGGGAGATTCCTCATCAGGCGACTCCTCATGCAAAGAGGGTGTGTGTTCCTCACTTGACGATGGTGTAGGAGTACGAATACGAGCCCTCCTTGTGCGAGCCATAGTACCTATACACAAACAAGAGGAATATTCATTAGAAACAATATAAACTTGCTCACATATGTTAAATAGGAATTTAAGAAAATTTCGATAGAGTTTCCCCTTATGAAAGGAAGAAACTCCCTGCCAACAATCAACAATTTTAAGCAAATAATCTTCCTAAAATCCAATTCCCACATTTAGAATGACTATTACCAATAAGGATATCATGACATGCATAATAAGTCCAAACACTTGAGAATTATAGCCATTTGCAAGAATGAACATATCAAAGAAATTTGAAGTATTAACGACAATGTGCTATAATTCTTGCAAACACTTGAGAACATCTCAAATCCAATTCTAGTAAAGCCACATATTCATATGCCTTGCTAAAACATCCTTAATTTACACAATAGTCAACGTCTAGCAGCTTTCCCAAAGAAATATATATCACTCAGTTTGCACACACATGAGTTCCAATTCTTCCAAACAAATGCAAATTATCTCAAAAAGATAAGAAATTTCAAGCAAAAAGGTTCACTATGCTTAACTTAATAATAAACACACTTTTTTACCAAATAGAATGTGCTCTAATGATCGCATATCATTTTCAATTGGTACAATAGTGATCTATACTCCTTAGAACAAGTTCATATAATCAATGAAAGCAAAAATTCATAAGTCTAAATCACCAAAATGCTAAAGCCCGAAAAAGAATTGAGAAACAATCTCAAAAATATCACCAAATCCACAATTCTCTTAAAACTAAGAATGAAAATAGTTGTGACAATCTATTTAAGCACAATGTAGCACAATTGTATCAAGAAATTTCAACTTATAAGCAATTACCAAAATATGCCCAAAACTAAAAAAAATGTAAAATTGGGAATTATAAAATCTCAAAGAAAATTATAAATTGTTACCTCAAATGTGTAGATTGATGATGGAGGATGATAATGATGCAAAAGTGATGAAGAAACAATCCCAAATTCGACCTCAAATTGCGAGATTTCAGTGATGCCCAAATTCCCGTTTTGAAGATCAAAACCACCCAAATTGATGTTTTTAAAATGAAATTGTTGAGGGTTTATGATCACAACAGGTTGGGAGATGTTTTTATGGTGAAGGGTTGAATAATTATTGGATGAAATAGAAGAATGGTGAAGAAGGGCTAGGGTTTCGGTGAAATAGGAATAGAAGAGCTGGAAAAATGAGGAACCGAGGCCTCGGTTTCTTTCTTATCGCAAACCGATCCGAGGTCGGATCGGTTCTTAACGCCCTCGGATCCGACAGGGACTCGGATCCGCATCGCCAGAAGCACAGATGAGTCCTCGGATCTTACTAGAATTTGTTGGATCTGAGCTCGGATCCCTATTTTTTATTTTTGATCTTCAAAGGATCTGAGGTCGGATCCGTCTGAGTTTTTCGGATCCGAGCTCGGATCAGCACAATTCTGCACTAATTGCAGAAACTGCAATTTTGCAAACTTTTTCTCCCTTTTTCGGCCAATTCAGAATTACACATAGGACAAATTTTTTATCAAATCCAACCCCCCACGCAAGTGTAATATACCAAAAACACAATATCCAAACTCTCAAAGCACATCAAACACATCTATATTGCAAATCGAGGGGTGAGGTTATTTGATCATTTTTGCACTTTTACACCAAAATGGTACTCTTGGGCATTAAATGCACATCAAATGAGTCCATGAGTATTTATAAATATGTTATCATCAAAACTCACTTGAATATACTTGAAATGCACAATATATATATGACTGGTAATTCTAAACACTTAAAGCACAATTCGGTAAGAAAACTTCTCTTTTTACACTTGTTCTTCAATTGTACCTTCAAAATGGATGATGAAACTCCGGTACCTCTTACAAACAAGTGAAATACATCTAATTAGTCAATTAAATTCACACCAAAATGTAAGAAACACATAAAAACACACAACTATAATATTATTATTGGGTTGCCTCCCAATAAGCGCTTTGTTTAGAGTCATTAAGCTCGACTCTCCTATAGCTTCTTTAACTCTCCATTGCGTTTCCTAAGGAGTAAATTACTCCTTTAGGAACCTTTTCTCCAGCCAAATAGGGCTTCAATCTTTGACCATTTACTTTGAATGGGGGAACCATTTTCTCCTTTCATTTCCACTGCTCCATAAGGAAACATGCGAACCACTTCAAATGGCCTGGACCATCGAGACTTAAGCTTTCCAGGGAATAATTTAAGCCTTGAGTTAAATAATAACACCTTTTGCCCTTCTTCAAAATGCTTAGGGAGAATGTGTTTATCATGCCAAAATTTCACTTTTTCTTTGTAAATCTTGGCATTCTCATACGAGGTTAACCGCGATTCCTCCAATTCGCTTAGTTCGAGCATTCTCTTTTCACCTGTAGATTTAAAATCAAAATTAATAGCTTTAATGGCCCAATAAGCTTTATGTTCTATTTCTACAGGTAAATGACACGCTTTCCTATAGACAAGACTATATGGAGACATTCCCAACGGCATTTTAAATGTCGTTCTATACACCCACAAAGCATCTTCAAGCTTGTTTGTCCAATCCTTTCTCGATCGGTTGACCATTTTCTCCAAAATGATTTTAATTTCCCGGTTGGCCAACTCCGCTTGATCATTGGCTTGAGGATGATAGGGGAGTGACTTTTTATGCCTACAACCATATTTAAGCAACAAAGTGTCAATAATTTTATTACAAAAATGCTTACCTTCGTCGCTTATCATTGCCTTTGGAACTCCAAACCTACAAAATATGTTCCGTTTAAGGAACTTAAGCACAACTTTAGCATCATTAGTTTGTGAAGGAATGACCTCTACCCATTTAGAGACATAATCAACTGCTAAAAGGATATACTTATTTTTATATGAGTTAGGAAATGGTCCCATAAAATCAATGTCCCAAACATCAAATAACTCAACTTCCAAATATGTAGTTAGAGGCATTTCATTCTTTCTTGAGATATTACCGGTTCTTTGGCATTGATCACAACTTTTAACCCAATTTCTAATATCTTGGTACATAGTAGGCTAATAAAATCCTGATTGCCATATTTTTGCTACGGTTTTAGTTGTGCTAAAATGACCTCCCATTTCAAGAGTATGACAATGCATTAAAATACTATGTACCTCATCTTCCGGAACACATCTTCTAATTATTCCATTTGCACAGTGTTTGTAAAAGAATGGTTCCTCCCAAAAGTAATATTTAGCATCATTTAAGAACTTTTTCCTTTAATGAGAATTCAAATCACTTGGTATCACTCCACTAACTACAAAATTAACTAAATCAGCATACCATGGTGACTTATGAATTGCCATTAAAAACTCATCTGGAAATTCTTCTTTAATGGTTGAGTGGTTTTCTTGAGGCATGTTCTCCAGTCTAGAAAGATAATCAGCGACTAAGTTGTCGGATCCTTTTTTATCTTTGATCTCCAAATCAATTTTTTGCAATAATAAAATCCATCGAATTAGTCGAGGTTTTGCATCTTTCTTATTTAAAAGATATTTGAATGCTGCTTGGTCGGTATAAATGATAACTTTAGATCCTACTAAATACGATCTAAACTTATCCAATGCAAATATCACTGCTAGCAACTCCTTCTCTGTTGTTGCATAGTTAACTTGGGATTCATTTAACATTTTACTTGCATAATAAATGACATGAAGTCGTTTATCATGTTTTGCCCAAGAATAGCTCCAACTGTAAAATCACTTGTATCACACATCAATTCGAATGGTAAGCTCCAGTCCGGTGATGCTATTATAGGTGCGGAGACAAGTTCCTTTTTCAACCTATTAAAAACAAGTAAACACTCATCATTAAAGTGAAAAGGAACATCTTTTGCAAGTAATTCACATAAAGGTTTAGCAATCTTGGAGAAATCCTTAATAAACCGCCGATAAAATTCCACGTGTCCAAGAAAGTTGCGAATGCCTTTCACATTGATAGGTGGAGGCATTCTCTCAATAACCTCTATCTTGGCTTGATCTACCTCAATACCTTCTGAAGAAAATTTATGGCCTAGCACAATACCCTCATAAACCATGAAGTCACATTTTTCCCAATTGAGTACAAGGTTTGTTTCTTCACATCTCTGCAAAATTAGATCCAAATTGTTAAGACAATCATCATAAATAGATCCAAATACAGAAAAATCATCCATGAAGATTTTCATAATTTTCTCATTAAAATCAGAGAAAATTGCCATCATGCATCGTTGGAAGGTGGCCGGTGCATTGCATAGTCCAAAAGGCATTCTTCGAAATGCAAAAGTGTAGTAAGGACAAGTGAATGTGGTTTTCTCTTGATCTTCCGGTGCAATGATTATTTAATTGTATGCTGAAAAATCATCCAAAAAATAATAAAATTCATATCCGGCCAATCTTTCTATCATTTGATCAAGAAAAGGTAGAGGAAAGTGATCCTTTCTAATAGCTGCATTCAGTTTTCTATAATCAATACAGACTCGCCACCCAACTACAACTCTAGATGGAATCATTTCATCATTGTTACCACGTACTATGGTTATCCCCCCTTTCTTTGGCATTACATGAATAGGAGAAATCTAAACATTATCAAAAATTGAAAAAATTATACCTGCATCCAACCATTTAAGAATCTCTACTCTTACCACTTCTTTCATGTTTGGATTTAACCTTCTTTGAGTTTCAACCACCGGCTTAGAATTTTCTTCTAATAAAATCCGGTGCATACAAATAGTTGGACTAATTCCCTTGATATCAGAAATTGTCCATCCTATAGCCTTTAAATGCTTCCTCAAAACACGTAAGAGCTTGTCTAGTTGTTTCTCATTTAGTGCTGCATTGAAAATTACTGAAAATGTATCTTTTTCTCCAAGAAATGCATATTTGAGGTGTTTAGGCAGTGGCTTAAACTCAAGCTGTGGTGCTTGCTCACATGATAGTGGAGGGAACCCTTTGCTCAGTCCTAACTCCTCATATGCATTTTTCCTTTTGTAGGGAACCTGTGCTTGCAAAAATTCAGTCATTTCTTCAACTTGTTCCTCTTGTAAGCGTACACCATTAAGACAAAGTCCAAGAGAATCATTATCAAGATTAACTTGACTTATTTCTATTGCCAATTTATTACATATGTCAATAGAATAAACATGATCGATAAAAGAGGGATATTTCTCCTGCAGTGGCCAGAAATGGTCTACCAAGTATAATAGGTATATTTACATCTTTCTCCATGTCTAAAACAACAAAATCAATAGGAATAATGAATTTCTGCACTTTAATGAGCACATTCTTCAATATGCCCATTGGATGTCTAATAGACCTGTCAGCCAATTGCAAGGAAATGTTAGTACGCTTTAACTTTTTCAACCCCAATTGCCTAGCCACAGTTAAAGGAATCAATGAAACACTTGCACCAAGGTCACAAAGTGCTTTAGAGAATTCTACATTACCAATAGTGCAAGGAACTATGAAACTCTCCGCATCTTTCAACTTTGGTGGCAATTTATTTTGTAGGATGACACTACATTCTTCTGTTAATGCAATTGTCTCACTATCTACTAACTTCCTTTTCTTAGTCATTATCTTCTTGAGAAACTTTGCATATGAAAGAATCTGCAAAGTAGCATCAACAAAAGGAATATTAATATGTAATTGTTTGAAAATGTTGACAAACTTCTCAAATTCTTTGTCATTTCTCGAAAGCTTCAATCTTTGAGGGAATGGCACCGGTGGAGGAATTGGTGTTTTATCTCCCATTTGTTGTGTATTTTCCTCCAACTTTTCTTTCCCTTTGATTTTCTTGTCGTCCTCTCTTAACTCACTCAACTGCTTGTTCTCTCTTCTTTCACATTTTCTCTCACATTCAATTATAGGTAGCTCACCTACTTCCTTACCACTACGGAGAGTTATAACCTTCACATGCTCCCTTGGGTTCACCTCAGCCTTGTTAGGTAAATCCCCTTGATTGCGATTATTAACCGCATTTGCTATTTGTCCTAATTGGACCTCAACATTCCTGTACATATTGGTGAGTTGGTCTATCCTTCCTTCAATTCTTTCAAACCGTTAAGCAGTAGCACTGGCTAACTTTTTAATTTTATCATTTGATACATTTGCTAGCTTCTCAATTGCCAATTTCCAAGTTGGTTTGGACTCCGGAAGTGATTGCTTCGGTTGAAAACCTGGTGGATTAACTGGTCTTTGTTGGTTCCCTTGATCCTTCCATCCAAAATTCGGGTGATTATGCCATCCTGGATTATAGGTATTAGAGTATGGATTGTTTTGGGGTGGACGGTTGTAATTGTTAAGATATTCAACCTGTTCGCTACTAGAACACATAGAATCATCATGATCTCCGCCGTAAGTAGTACAACATGCAACAACCACTCCTTGATTCGAGTTAGAACCAACGTGCTTATTAAGTATCTTAACCACATTATCCACTTTTGCACTTAACATATTCAAGGTATGTACTTCAAGCATACCTGATGTTCTCCTTGTATTACCTCATTCGTTTGCCCATTGGTAGTTGTTAGCAGCCATTTTTTCAATCAATTGTTGAGCTTCCTCGGCTGTCTTTCCCATCAATACTCCTCCCGCTGCCGCATCTACATGCGTCTTTGTTGGATAGGTGAGACCATTGTAAAATGTTCAGACTACTAGCCAATCCAGTAAATCATGATGAGGACATCTTCGTTGCAATTCCCGATAGCGCTCCCAAGTTTCATACAATGTCTCTCCTTCCTGTTGAGTGAAACTAGTTATATCCATTCTGAATTTAGCAGTTTTTCCAGGTGAAAAGAATTTATTGAGAAACGCCTTAACTAATTCAGCCCAAGTAGTAAAAGTATTTGGAGGATGAGATTGTAACCAAACCTTGGCCTTGTCCCTTAATAAAAATGGAAACAATCGAAATTTAATTGCATCATCACTAACACCATTAAACTTAATTGTATCACAAATTTCAAGAAATGTTGACAAGTGAGAATTTGGATCTTCGGTAGCATTACCTCCATATTGAAATTGTTGTACCATTTGAATCAGTGATGATTTAATCTCAAAATTATTAGCATTTACCGTTGGCCTTGCTGTGAGAGCCCGTAATTTCATTTTAGGGTTTTATTATATTCAATGGTTTGTTTTCTGCACTTTTTGTATCCGGAAAATTTTCTAGATAATTTTTATGAGCAGATATAGTTTTTAGATGATTTTTCTAGTATCAAATGGATTTTGAGAAATTAAGAGCGTATACCGGACGTGGGACCCACTAGTGCGAAAAGTTCAGAAAAATTCGGTCAACTATGTTAAGTTTTGAATACTGGAATTAATTTACTGGGTGTTAAGAGATAAGTAGAGGGTGCTAAGTGGATTGATATAAGAGAGACAAGGTAGGTGAGCATTTAATAAAAGGTGACAAGTGTCACCATTTGAGTGGTCCAACCTTAAGACCACTATTCATGGTCTTACCATTTGACTTACATAAACCAAAAATGACCCAAAAATCATCAAAAAATCCTCAAAGGTGGCCGGCCCTCTCTTGCTCTCTCTCTCTCTCTCTTACTCCAAGCACAAGGAAGAAAACACTTCAATCTTGTTCCAAATCACCAAAACCAACCATCCAACCTTGATTTTGCTCCATAAAACCACTTAAGGAAGTGTTGGTGAGTTGTTGTGTGAAGTTTTTTGGAAAGTTAAGGTGACCAATAGCTCTCTCTCTCTTGTTTCTAAGGTAAGTTGTGAAGAACCACCCTCCTCCTTTAATTGATGCTTAAATCATGCTTAATGATAGTATGAGATGCAAGTTTATGGATTATTTCTTGATTTGTGGTTGAAATGATGAAGTTTTATTATTTTTGGGGATTTTTCTGTTTTAATATAAGCATGATTGTGTGGCTATCTATGATGATTAGAAATGGTATATAATGACTCTAGGAGGTGGAAAAAGTGATTAATTGCAACCAATTTCTGGTTTGGAAGAAATTTCAGAAAATTAGGGTTCTTGAGGGAGCATTCTGCCCGAATTTTTAGGTCCTAGTTATAGGCCGAATTGGCCTTGTCTTAAAACATGAAAGTTGTAGGTAATTACATTTTAGAGGTGCCTACAAAATTTCAGGTCAATCGGAGTAGTGTAGAATGAGATAAGTCGAAATTACTATTGCTATTCTGGTTTTACCCGAATGTAAGAACTGCGCCTGTAATTGATTGTTTTGGCTGGAATTGCTTCCGAATTGGTCGTTGAGGCCTTCTGATGAAATTTATCCCTGTTTCTTAGATTTCAGCTGGTTTTGGAATTTCTGGATTTGGACTTGGAGAGCCTGAGTTATGATGTTTCCGCTAGAATGCATTTTGGTGAATCTGTTTTACGTTTTTGATGTAGTATCTTGCATTTTTGACCTGTTTTCACTCAAAACTGGGTTGAGTGACCTTCTGTGATGTTGTAGCCCTGTCTTTTATCTTCGAAATGGTGGGTCTTACACCCTCATCCGATAATCGTAGTGAAATTGGTGCCATTACCGCAAAATGAGGACAAAAACTGTTTTTTTTAAGGCCAAAGCTAATTGCATTTCCGAATTTTCTGGTTTCCTTTAATGTTTGTATATGCTTATGGAACCCTATTGGGGTCATGTTTGGCCTTGGTTTATGACTCGTTATCGAGTCTCATTGTAATTGTTTGCATGTTTTAGGACGTGACGGTGGTGCACAACGTTCTTTTGACGGAAGTGCATGAAACCACATTTGCTAGCTTGGTGAGTACTACTCACTTGTATGTTACTATATGGCTTTGAATGTAAATTGCTTGAAGTGAATTGAATGTGACTTGATTGAAGTGAAAGTGTACTTTATCACTCTCACTTATATGCCTTATATCATTGTTGTCATGTTATTGGAATGTTACATGAAATGAAATGAAAGTGAATTGATTGGACGAGTATCCAACGACTACAAATGTTATCATTGAGCTCAACCCCATTGGTAGTTGATTGAATCGAGCCGGCGAGGGCTTGGTCGTGCCAATTAATGAACCTTGGGTAAAGTTATATGGAATCTTGTAGTATGCGAGACTCTCGATTCCGGTATACTTGAGTAATACCAAAGTGCAAGTGTTTGGATTTCGGGCCCGGTAGGGGTATGTTAGGTGGAAGGAGAGGGAGTAAAGTGGAGTCTACGGTTGGTTACTTTTGAACATTGACGGAGAGTCAATGACGTCCGATCAAGAAATGCAAACGAGGAAAGGGCTCTTGAGAGCCATCTGTATCCTTTTATCACCATATTTGACGTGTACCTTTGCTTATTTTACCATATTGAATGAAAGCTTGATGCTTATATGCACTTGGTTGCGTAAGTGATAGTATCTCACTGGGCAATTAGCTCACACCGTTCCTTTTGTTTTCCTTACAGGAATATGACTCTTTTTGGAATGAATCTTGATAGATGGTTGCCGAATGAACTAGATGTACATCTCTTTTGTATTGTATATGAAGAGAAACCCTAAATGTGGCCGTTTTCACTTTCAATTTGGCAAACCGTGTATATATTAACTTTTGAAAACTTTTGTATGTCACTTTGGATTGTAATTGCTAACGTTCAAGATGTGAATGTTTGTTTGATATTTGGTTGCGTTCCGACGGGTCGGTTACTATTCATGGCCGACTCCGAATTTCATTTTTTTTATTTTGGGTTATTTTGCCATTTTGACTCGTTTACGCGCGTTTGTAAGTTCCGGAACGCGATAGACCGCTCTAAGCTGCACCGTTAGTCCTGGCGAGAGATGGGCAGGCAGTCCGCTAACCCCTTTGGTTCGCCTTAGGGGAAAGTGGGGTTGTCACACTTGCAATGCTAGTTTGAGAACCTTGTGTTCCCGGTAAAACAAAATCTCGTAGAATTCGCCTATTTGGTTCATTTTCCGCTATTTCTTCCTCAAATGGTAATTCTATCAAGATTTCCTCTATTGGTTGCCAAACCTCTTGTTCCTCTTGATGCGGTGTATTTCTCCTTTGTCTCCGTAGTGTCCTTTCAATTTCAGGATCGAAAAGTGCAACTTCTCGATTTGATCGGTGCATACACTACAAATAAAAACAAGAGAAATTTTACAGTTTTAATTATTAAAATCAATTATAAACAACTTGAATAAAAAAAATGAAAATATCTAAATTAATAGAGATGATTAGGCCCTAATATTGCCGCTCCCCGGCAACGGCGCCAAAAACTTGATGGGATTTTTATATCAATACAAGTTTAAATCCGATCTTATACCCGTTTAACTGCAAGTATACAGGTCAAAATTGTAATGTAGGGTATGTATCGGGTCGATCCTACAAGGAGCAAATTAACCAATTACTAGGTCCTTATTTTCTCTATTATTTAGACTTATGAATGAATTTGAGCAGAGAAATCATATTGCTATTTTCTACAAATCTGATCTACAAATCTAGTTTAGCAAATGCTAAATGCAAATGGAGAATTTTCACTCTAGGATAAATCTAGGGATGTAGATTCCACTTATGCCATAAACAACACAAATAAATGGATTTACCTCTTGTTATTATTCTTGTTTAACCAGGGATTCATTTCCAATATTACCAAACTTCATTCTCATGATAAAATGGTTTAGAATAGTCCAGTTTTCCCTATTTTCATGGTGAAATACTACTACTACTCTGTTTTCTTTCATGAAATGCTAAGTAATCCACTTAAATGTATCTCTATTTTTATGAACATACAACTTAAGCTCTACTCATGTGTTTCCATTGTTACTACCAATTCTCATTGAACAATAACAACTATAAACATGCTATTAGTGATCAAGCAATAACAAGTAATTACTACATGCACAAATAGACAAGTTAATACAAGATATAACAACTGTAAATCACATTCGATTTATCTCATTTAGCCATAAGTTTTATCTACTCTTTAGATTAAGAAGTTTAGCTACTCATGAATGATTTAACAATCAAACTCACAAGTTTATTAATACAAAATATCATAAAGTACAAGTACAAGAAAGATAAAAGAAAGTTTAG